TGGTTTTCATTCCAGATTCGTCCAAGTCCACATCTTCAGTACGTAGTTGAATGTTGATACAAAACATGGGCAGCTGCCTTTTGATCCAAGACACAGCCACGTCAGTCTGCTCCTATCAGCCTGACTGGGCTGGCTGTGCTTGGAAGGCATTTCACACAATTTGTCACACATCAAACTTAACAGCATACGTCCAACCGACTACATTATCCTTAGATTTTTTATCCGCCTCCTATACTGCCCAAACCACTCATCATTAAGACGATGAAAAATATGTAACTAGAAGAAACGAAAACCATTGCCTCTTATGCGTTTGTTGTGTAAATGAGTGTTTCACAGAGCAAGGGCACAAACATCTTGTTTAGTAATATATAGTCAATATATAAATTACATGTACAAAAGAAAGTGGTTGATAACCCCCCTAATGTTGGACTAAACATATGAGCTCAAACTACGCAGCCTGTGCAGATGTTTTAGAGTGTATTCTCACACAGTTCAGCTGCATTTGTTTTGTAATATATACCTTTAAGAATCTACGCATAAAAATTCAATCAATGTATTGTTAAACCTCAACTAATTACACTCTGTCTCAGCTAGTAAAGAGCTTTCGAAAATCTAAATTCCACCAACCAGTGCAGTTGCCTTGTGTTGGATGTCTGGTCATTTCACCTGCTAAATACAGACCACTGTATCAGCTCTTCTCCTGCTTCCTGCCATACTGTCAAGGCACTGCCAGCAATACCCATCTCTATGGCAACATAACATGTCATTTGGTGGACGCTCGTGTACCTTGTACAATAATACTTGAGTGCTTCTTTTTTAGTACGACTGCCCGAAGGGAAACAAAGGCCCGACTCTAGTCTGAGCACAGGAAGGGTCACTATTAGTGGAATGCTTTACCTGAGAGACATGGAAGTATTAATTAGCAGGTTGTTTAGCGCTAATCTAATTTGACCTTTCTAACTTTCTTAAACATATGTTAAATACGGTTGACGTGTCTCTTGCTGACTCTGGCTTGTCCTTACCAGAAGTGTCACGAAATTGTAGATGTTCAAATTTCCATAGCTATGGAATGAGCTGCGATTGTTCATGATCTCTGAGTTGTTTATTGCGTGTCTTGGTCTTGATGTTGAGTGACCGTATGAGGTCTCGACATGTGCTTAGAAGGTTTGTATTTGCCTGCTGTAGCAATGCGATCCTGAATCATGTCATTTGGCAGTCGAAGAATTCCATGGCCCATTGTGTAGCCTGCTGCATGCTACAGTGGGTGGTCTGACACCCATATCAGCTCTGCTTTACTTCACATGGCCGGCTGACTTTTACTGCTTCTAATTTACTGTCTTTAAAGTAATCGACTAAAGGGCTCATAGACATGTGAAAGAAAAAGCACTTTACAAGACAACTGTGGAATTGAGGAGGCATCTCCGGGCATCAGATGGTTTGTCTAAAGACTGCACTTCTGTTTACACCTCTTGGAAAAATATGGTTTGAGATTTTGTCAAACCATATGTTAATCTTCACATTAAACAATTCCAGCCATTGATTTAATGTTGTGCTTTAACTGAACTTATTCTCAGAGCAGCTGTTACCTGTAGGTGAATATCTCACTTTAGATTGTCCTCATTACACATACAGGAGGTGTTGCTGCATGTTTTTACCATCAGTGGTACAGAAGGAAGAAAGATCTGACTGGGTTGTTGGAGACTAGAGGAAGGTTGGTGACAATGTTAAAGAGTTACGGTGGAGCCTTGTGGTTCATGCAGTAAGGAAAGAGTCATGAATATGAACAATTAAAAGCAGCAGGAAAAATAATCAGTCAAGTACTGTGAACTTAAATTTTTTTTTGCACAACAGAAGTGACTATTGCATGAAGTTATTTCCATATCTGTATTTAAAAAATAAATCTCTATCAGGAGATACTGTGTATCACAGACACATACTTGGTAGACCTGCTACAGCTTTGAGTTTCCTCAATTACAGCAACACAGCTTCCCATATTTCTGTATTTCCATATTGAGCTGTTCTGTTCACATTGTTAACAGGTATTTAAATAGGAATTACATTTATTGCTGACTCGGGGGCAGTGCACAAAGCTGTAAACACAACATTGATCACCGATCACCTGTGTCCAACAGACACAGGCAACATTAGCATTTAGCGTTGTGTTTCCGGTCTCTCCTTTTAGCTCTGTTTTGTTCTCCACCAACTCCTGAGAGAAATATCTGGCTCTTTGGCTGTTAAATGCTGCCCTATATGTTCACCAGCTAGTCGCAAACTCTGTCTGTGTTTCCTGCTGGACAGGTAGTGAACAGTTGATTTATCAGAGCTTATCTGCTGAAAACAGCTGCCTGCTGCTGCTGGAAACAACACAGCAGTGAGAGGGAAGCAAAACAGTAAAGTTAAAGGCCTTAAAACTATAACAATTAGCTAAATGATGCTAAAATGCCCTGTAGGGCTGAGGGAACTGCAGAATCAAATGAGAATTCTATGTGGATTCATTACTAAGAGTGATCCCTGTCACATTCGATGTAGTCATTTAATCCATAGTTAATATAAAAGTATTAATTAGAGCAACTTTAACAGCAATAAAGCAAATTATTATAATAATGCTCATATTGACCATGACTATAATATCACTACACAATAATGACCCAGTATTGACCCAGTATAACTCTCAATACAATGATAATTGTCATTATCATAGGTTTTGCATTTGCATTTGATTGTGTATAGAAAATTCATATACACCTTAAGATTAAAAAAACAACTTTTAATGTTAGTGTGGAAAGTTTTGTGAACTCCAAAAGCCTCATTTTGCATTTAGTTTTCTGTTTGTCTCGGAGAAACTGGTGGCCAGTGTGTTTTGGGTAATATTTTATTTCTTCTATTTTTAAAATGTTCGTCTTCTCCTCTCGCTGTCTGCCTAGACCGAAACAAGACTGTCATGACTTCCTTCCATGAAGAGAAACATTGATTTCGGCTCAGCGGGGATCATGCAAAACAGCCTCTCATTAAATTCATAATTAGAACTTGGAAATGGCACATGGGGTTCAACTCGGGGGCGAGCCGAAAATCACTGAAAACTATTAAACTTGCACTTAGCCTTTCACTCTCAAACAAAACGGCTATGACATCTCACACAACGTGAAGTGAAAGCTAAACGCTACGTCTGCATATCTGCTGAAGACGTATGTTTGCAGCATTATATTGAAATCTAACTGTTTGGTTCTATAAAGGTTTGGACTCTAGGAAACACACTTGCTAAACTGTCCTGTTTTGTCCTTTTTAGTCAACAAAAATGTCCAAAAAATTACTTACTTAGATACTAATATTCATATTTCTGTGTTATATATGTTTTATCTTGACAGGTAAAGAACAAATATAAAAACATGTCCTTCCTGACTTATGCTTCAATGTCAAGGGCATTTGTTCTTTTCCACCTGAAGGTCACTGCTGTGCATCATCATCATCATCATCATCCAGTCTTACACAAATATCAAAACTATAACGTCACATCAACTCTCAGACAATCCTCATAAACTCCCCCATCAGTTGTGAATGTCCAGTTCAAACACACATTAACACACATGCACATTCACATAAACACACACACACACACACTCTGCCCTCTCCCTGTCCCCAGCCCTGGTTGCCTAGGAGACAGCTGAGATGGGGACCCCATCTTGGTACACACCAGTATGATTGTGTGCTGGAAGAAGAAGCGTTGGATCTTTATCGCCATCTAGCAGCCAAGATGGAGAAAGACATTTTTTAAAGTCAAGATTCTGCCTGGTAACCCAATATGCTGGCTTCTCCTGGTCCTGAAATCCAGCCCACAATTTCTAATGACATACAGCACACTGTGGGGCTTTACATGAAAAGTCTAATATGGTCCATTAGTCAAATAGTCACCTACTTGGTAATCAGTGATTTGTTTTACAAAATGAGATTAAAAACATGTTTTTTGTAAATACAGTAAGGCATCTTAAGCTTGAGGCTGAGCAAATGATCACACTTATTTAAAAGAGTGACTCCTCTGATACATCAAGAGGTAAATCATAAATGTGTTTTTTCTAGATAGAGGGAGCTAACACCAGTGGTGGGAAGTTACTAAATACATTGACTCAAGTACTGTACCAGTTCAGTTCTGAGGTATTTTAATGGAGTATTTTGTATTTTATGCTTCTTTGACATAAATCATACATGTCAGCAGTTTTAAGTAGTGTACTTTGAACTACTATTTATATGTACTAGTTACAAGTCATTTTCTGATTTTACATGTCAAACATATGTTTAGCTTTTATAACATGTAGCATGGTTATGGATTAAATTACCCTGCTGTATAAACAAACAGTATACATCATAAAATAGTAGCTCCACCAATAATTGATTTTATGTATTTTATACAGTGGTGCAACTAAACTCAGGTGTTTTATGTAAAGTAAAGTAAGTAAAAGTAGCAATACCACATTGTAAAAAGACTTCATAACTGTTGAGAAGTTAAATCCGTAAAAATTTATCATAATTTGTAAGATGGTCATATTTTATGTGTGTAATATCTACAAAGTAACTAGTAACTATAGCTTTCCAATAAATGTACGGGAGTAAAAAGTATAATATTTCCTTCTGGCTGGAGCCAATCCCAGCTGACATCGGGAGAAAGGCGTGGTACACCCTGGACAGGTCGCCAGTATGAGATTAAATGTATTTAATTATATCCCAACACTTATTTTATGATGTTAAATTGCAGTGTTCTAACAGAAAGACCAGACAAATGTATTTAAAATTCTAGTCCTAGTTATACAATGTAATTTACTATGAAGCCTATTTTCAGGACCCGGTACAAATCTTTGAATTGTACATGTCTGTTTTCTTTACCAAATATAATCTCACACGGCCGAATTAAAGATCCTAAAGAGGTTTCAGAGTTTTAGTATGTACAGCAGTAGTACTTTTTTGCATGTGGCCTCTCCCCAGAATATCACGCAATCTAAGACAGGAGGTCTGGAATATACTGTAGTTTATTATTTCTGATTGATGTGGTATATTACATATTAAAAACATCAAGTAAAAATGGTCACATATATACACAGCAGCAGAAGCAGGAGTTTGGAGTTTGTTGAACTGAGCAGGACGCTGTGCTTTTAATTTCTACTTGGCTGGGGACAAAAGACAGATAATCCCTGTGCTACGTGAACATATGTGAAACGAAGCCACAGACACGATCAAGTGTTAAACTGTGTCTATGTTAAAGGTTTTAGATAGATATCCCTAATCACCATAATGTGAGTGCAGTTAGCAACATCAGCAGCAATAATATTAGTGTTATTAAAGAGTAACTAAACACTTACTTAAAATCTTGTTTTTGCTTTTCTCCAGAGACTTAACTTCTCACCTTGCTGTAGTGATGTACATGTGTGCTCTGTTGGGGTTACATATGCAACAGAGCACATTTATGACTACAGCCAACAGTGATGCTGGGTCGGAGGTTAAACAGGCAGGAAACTTTCAACCAGAGAAAGCAGCAAAACACATTTTTTTTTAAGCATGGTGATAAGTTACTGTTTAACAAACATAATACTCGGTGCCTCCAGAAGATAAGAAATCGTTTCCACCCATGGCGGGTACCAGCTTTCAAACATTTTTCTAGCACCAAATGATGGTTTGAAGTTTCTACCAGAGAAGACAAATATACCAGAGGCTGTGTGTTGGTTCTTTTCTGTTAACACCTGATGGATATATGATAAATCTTAGAACAATCTTTGCATCTAAAGAAATTTAAGATTTCTAAAATTTCAGCCTATACCTTAATATCATCTAGTGATATTCATGCGCAGGTGAAACTAATGTGTCTAGGCACCTTACCTATTTTAAACGTGAACAATCCCACAATGTGCACAAACAAACCACCTTGTCACCTTTTTGCCCAATAAGACAAATGACCTCTTTCTGTTTAGCATTTAGCCTTGGTGCACAGGATGTTCTATTGTTGTCCCTGCCTAAAGCACAGTATTGTCATTTAAATGTAGATATAGGCAAGGGTGATTGGAGCTAACACAACAGATCGAAAAGAGATATCATAGATACACTACACTTGTAACAAAGATCAACATACCCAACGGTTGAAGACACTTGAAGCATTTTCAACCAAGTCAAGTTTTCCTTGATTTTAACCCACCTTGGATAACTATGACCTGGATGACTGTGAATCTTCACAAAGATCAACACAGAAATAAAAGACAAGAACATCAAGAAATAAACTCCTATGATATGGCATATAGTGTGGAACTGAACCTAATGAAACTATTCATTTGCCTTGAAAGAAAAGGTCTGCAAACACTAATTGTGGTGTGGTGGTGATATACTGAAGGTCTTTGTAAACATTCTCTGTTCTAGGCCTCTGATTCGGATTGATCGGTGGCGATGCAGCCGTTCAGCTCGCCCGGTCCTGTTTGCTCCTGGATGTCAGTCATCTCTCCGACGATGAAGGTCGGCTCCCCTCCTTTGCTGCTGGCCGAGCCGCTGTCCGGATGCTTGGCCGCCTGGTTGGTCAGGGTGGGCTCTTCATCCAGCCTGCTGGAGATGGACCAGTAGAGGTGAGCGTCGAGTCTGGCTGCAGCCAATGAGAGCTCTCGTGCTGAGCAGGAGGGCGTGTCCACCTTGGCGGAGGGGAAATATGAGAGTTGGTCAAAACTCTCAGTTTAGATATTTGCATCACCATGATAACAAGAAGATGTTCCATTCCCAGAGTTATATTTTAGAAATGATACCACTCTCATCTGTACAGTAAATACAAAGCTACAGCCAGCAGTTGGTTAGCTTAGCTTAGCACAGAGACTAGAAACGGGCAAACAGCTGGCCTGCCTCTTTCTAAAAGTAAAAAAAAATCAGCATATCTAAAGTTCAATAAATAACATTGCTCGTTTGCTTAATCCATGCAAAAACTTGAAGAAAAAAAAAAGTGCGACTCCAGCAATGCACCTGGTGGTGGGTTGTGAGACAGAGCCAGCCTAGATGTTCGCCACTGTTTCCGGTCTTTATGCTAAGCTAACCAGTTGCTGGTGGCAGCTTCATATTTAACAGGCAAATCGAAGAGTGGCATCACTCTTTAAACCTCAGCAAGAAAGTGAATTTCCCAAAATGTCAAACCTCTGTCGAAGTGGAGTCATGTTCAGCTGACCTGACTATGAAGACGAGGTTCCAGTAGCACATAAGATTTGACTTTTGTTGTTTCTACACAAAAACTGCAACGCTTCCTTTTGGAAAACCTACTTTGGGGATCAATATGTGGAATTCACCCACAGAAGTCAAAATGGAACGTGATCTAGGTTCATTTTAAACTAAAGAGGGGTCAAACATGTAGCCATGTTGATCAGTAGCTTTTTTCTTAGATTTTTTGCCCATTGTATTACTGTTTGTCCTGTTGAGTTGTGTGCGTTTGAGTAAATTTAGGCATAGGTTATGAAAGCTTTGGTGTGTGTGGCACTGGTCCATGCTGTGCACTTGTCCCTACCAAAATAAACATGAAAAAAATACAATAGTTGCCCAGCATGCATTTCAAAAACCCCATGAGAACAAGTGTGAGAATTCAGCTGTTGGTTATACATGTAGGTGGAGACAGGAATAGGGATGTAGTTGAATTCTTGTCTACTGTCAATGGAATAACTGATACGCTGTTTGCCTCTTCCAAAATTGTTAAACTGCTAAAAGGGATTGAAATCAATGTTTAATAATGTATGATAAAGTTTTAAATTGTCAAAGCCTTTACTGCCACCACGCTTAATTATAACTACACTGCTACAGTGCTTTTTCTGTCCTCCTATAGACAGAAAGGAATGTGAGCTAGAAATGCAAGCTACACATATTGACAGCAGCTGTCATATTAACAGCAAACAGGTATTTTAGGTAGAATCTAGAACCTAAAAATGGCTGATTTTCTGCTTTCTCAGATTTATACACGGTTTGAATGTTGTATTTCATATGAGACAGCTCACCAAGGTTACCAAATTAAACACCTCTGTATTAGCCTGTAGTTTGTCCTTACCCCGGCTTCGAAATGCGTTACCTCAAACGTGTGGTGAAATGCTCCGTAGTCGATGTCAAAGAAGCCCTCTGCCAGTGACATCATCGGACTGAACCTGTGACCCCAGCACACCTCCTCTGCTAGATAGGAGCTCCTCGCCTGGCACGTCATCCCTGCGCACACATACACACAAGCACATACATTCATTGTGCCTCACAACATTTGTCCAGGCCCTTGTGATACATCAGAGGAACTAACTAGCATTGTCTATGCTTGGTTGCGGCAGAAATCTGAGCAGAACGTCAAAGCACCACACCAAAAACTCGCAATGGTAATTTATTTACCCATTTAGTCACAAACTATTTAAACGGCAAGCTGTCTTCATAGGAATATTCTCTGCAGCCGAGTTATGACTGTCAGCTACTTCTTTGTAACTCTCCGCAGCACTCTGACTAAAGGAATCAATATTTGGAGTGGGCAGAGAGGCCACCTTTACCTCATGGAGATGCATCATGAATAGCTCTGACACACTGAATTCCTGCCAAACAGTGAGAAACAGTTGAGTACATTATCCTCTCAGAATTAAGTTGACATAAGGCAATCTAAGAAGGGGATAAAGAAAAAGAGATAAACAAGGCCTGTCCAAATCCGTTCAGGGTACAGGTAACTGGCTAGTTGTTCCTGCCAGACTCTCTTTATACCTGCCAACAACATGAAATACAACACAGGTGTCAAACTTTGCTCCTAAATATGCAATCTCTGAAGTGATCTCTGAGCAGAGATAATGTGTTGCGCAGCTGGTGTGAATGATTTCCCCACTCAATATACTGTAAATCCAGACCTCTTCAAGTTTTGATAGATTTGGTAAAGCCTCTTCTGAGATTTGAGCTTCAGAAATGAAAACGTTAAATGTGTTTGAGCCAGAGAACTCTAAGTAAGTATAACATGACACATTCACATTTTAGCTGATGATTTATCCAGCGTGAGTAACTAGCGAGTTAGTCCTTAAGGCGTGAGTGCCTTGCTCAAGGGCAGATAAGGGGATGGGCGCAGTTGTGGATGGTCTGTCTACTAATAATTGAACACAAAAACATCCACATGAAGATCACTTGCCCCAGCGATTTCTTATCCATTTTGTTCCCTGTTATATAACACATTCACTAATATACTTATATTATATTTTATATTACTATATTTTATATTATATATCTAAATATAATATGTATTTCCACCATAATAACATCATCCTTAGGCTCTAAAAGCTTCCTGAAAGACTGAGAAGAGAAATGCAGATCTAAACTCAGACATCCTGGAAGGGGAATTTCATTTTCTAATGGACAGTTTTGGGCAGGGTTTACTTTCTGTAAAACAGTGATGGTATTGCTGTAATATCATACAGTTGTATGCATCTACAAGATTAATTTCCTAATGCTCCGGCAGCTATGCAGCCAAACATGCATTCACAGCATAGAGGCCATTAGAACTTTACAGTCAAACTAAATTGTAAGGTATTATATCCCATGCAATGCAGTGCTGTTAAGTTGTTTTATTTTATAACATTATTATCATTTTAAATCACAAAAGCACCTATAACAAATCATATAAAGACGTTTGAGCAATAAGTAAATAAATAATTATTGTTAGTTGTATTTTTATATGGCCTGTACCTTAATCTGTTTTAAAATGTAATAATCATCAGCTCAATACACAGTAGCTACATTTATTTTTGTCACTATCTCCAGTGAGTAACCATGTATTCATTCACAGCACGGTGATTTGGAGCAGCACATGGTTTTTCCATCGCCCACATTTTCATTGTATATGCAAACATGCAAATGCATTCCAGCTCAGCTCTTTTTATGTTGCATTTCGTGATGAACATGATTTTTAAGATTACATGCCAGTTTACATAACTGCCCTTAAAAAGGTCTCATAATCTCAATTCTTTAATAGACAGTTTGGCCCATTCCTCACCGGTTGCCTCCACCATTCCCTCCAGGATGACCACAATCTCGAAGTCCTCCTTCTCCAGCTGGGACTGCGACATGTCCCAGAAGGGTGAATGTGCGTCAATCTCATGGGAGATCACCAGCGGCGAGACCAGGAAGAGCCGATCATCGCCTGTCTCGAAGCCCACGCTGATGTCTGTCTGGTCCAGCGGGATGAACTCCCCTGAAGGAGACAACCAAATGTGAGGTGAGAAAAGAAGGAAGGGAGGAGAAAGAGTTTACATGAAAGCTTTTCTTTATCAATGTGCTTTTGTACAGATTGCCGCGTTTATCACATCGGATTTAAAAAGATCCTCCTGATTGGGTCATAACAGCATAACCACAGACTAATCTATAATTCTTTAAATAATCTAGTCATTTAAAGAAACAAGAGTTCTTATAAGTAGGTTGTCATTTTCCACCTATGGTAGTTGTAGTAAACAGTAGTAATTGTACAAGTTGTAGTAGTAGTCATAGTAGTCACATTAGTTTTGGTAGTGAGTAAAACATTTACCAATACTATCATTAATTGTCTTATCTGGTAGCCTCACCCTCCTGAGTCTGTTTGGATTTGATTAGCTTGGCCCTCATGTTGGCCCCCACGATGTGGGAGCTCCGAAGGTCGCCCACCCTGAACATCAGACAGAGCTTGTCGTCTCTCCGGGAGATGACGGCATGTTTGGAGAACACCAGTGTCTCTGCCCTTTTGTTGGGCTGTGAGATCTTTACAAACATACAGCCGACCTGGACCGAGCGGGGAGGTTTAAAGGAGAGGGGAAACAGACAGACAGAGCGGGTGGTAAAGCAGGGGATTATTGGAAAATGAATGAATGATGTAGACTTTACAGCTGTAAAACATTCGTTGTGACGGCTGAATACAAACAGGGCTCATTCGTATTTTCTATAGAGTTTGCTTTTTCCAGTGTTCAGTGTTTAATAACATGAAATGAATTAACCCCGGACTCAATCCTTTTTTAACACGCATAGTAAAACAGCCCACGATTCCATCAGTTGCTAATATGGCATGCTGCCAGCTTGCAAACATGCATAAACATGCTTGGATGTTGGTGTGTGGATTCAAAAATCTAGCTCCATCAGCACTTTCAAAGTCATCTCTCTAGTCTCAAGAGAATAAATTGTAAATGTATCTTTTGATTGGATTCAGCTGATCTGACAGGAGGCCTCCTTCTAATCAAACTGACTCAGGTCAAACAGTATTTACATGTACTTTTCTGTATGCTTTCACTATGCAGGTGCGTTTGTCAAATGGAATTAGATCATTTGAACATTTGAATAAGAATCTGAGAGCCAAGCAAAGTTTGATAATCGCTAAGTGTTAGACTCAGCTCTGCAAACAATACATACTGACAGTAAATGATAAGTTCTGTATCAGTATGGCAACGACATCCAGGTTTTCTTCCTACATTGGTTCTTATATGCAAAACAATTTACTGAGAATACAGACTTAAGCATTATGTGAATTTCAATTGATGTTTCATCGTTATAATATGCTATAATAATATCTTTTAATTAGTTTAATGTGGAAATAATTCTCTACAAATCACCATAATTGGTTATGTCCAGTATTTTTAGGTTTCACGAAATTCTCCCAGATTTAATTTGTAATAAGAATGTCAAAATCAAATCACTGTATGCCAGTGAATCTCAAATGTTTTTCCCCCTGGTCATCCCCCAGCTCTGGTGCTCACCATGAAGGCATTGACCATTGAGCCCAGTATAGCTTGGAGCAGCAGCAGCATGGTGCCCACTGGACACTGGTCGGTGATGACGCGGTGGCCGTAGCCGATGGTGGTCTCTGTCTCGATGGAGAAGAGGAAGGCCGAGATGAAGCCATTGACGTTGTTGACGCACGGTGTCCACGTGGCATCCTCCAGATGGTCCAGATCACCCCTTAGGAAGGAGAAAAGGAGAATGTGTGAGAAAGGGAAGGTGGGAGGGTGACAAAGTGGGTGTTAAGAGGGAAAAATAGAGAGCGAGAAGATTTATATATTTAGAATGAAGGTGCAGAAATATGTGTATGACGACCCATCTCTCCCTTTACATTTACAGTCACCTTTCAGCTAATGCTTATAATAAATAGGACGTAAACATATTCCTCATATTAACCATAATGATTAACTTAACATTCATCCTGTCACTTTGTCGATGCGGCAAAAATTTTCTTTTTCCATCATATATCATCACACAGCATCTTCACTATATCTGCTGGTCTTTCAGTCCTGCGCCACTAAGAGTGTGCTGATTTTCTTTCAAACTACTCGCTACACAAGCTAATGTCCCTGATTAACACAGCTCCAGCCAGAAAAGGAGAGCTAATTAATGAAAGTGGTGTTAAGTAATTTATATAATCTATGACTTTTATTGACCTGTGTTGGTGACCAAGGAATTGCAGCAACACTGACAGCTCTCTGGCACAGCTTAAGGTGGCCTGTAATTGATATAAAGAGGTCACGGTTTTATGAGATGAATACGTTAGCTAATTAGAGCGGGGATCCAGCAGACACATCTTCTTGTGAAGAGGTAACACATCATGATGAAATACACTGTAGTATTAATACTGCTTTGTCATCTGCTTTTTTGGCTGAAAGATTTTTTAGCTTTCGCAGCATCCTCCTCCATCTTTGCGCAGTTCCCTCGTGATTATTTCATTAAAGGAATAGTCTGACATTTTGGGACATTTCGAATCTGCCTGCTGAATATGAAGCTACAGCCAGAAGACGGTTAGCTTAACTTAGCACAAAGACTGGAAATAGAAGAAAAGCAGCTAGCCTGGGTTCTGAAGATGTATGCTGCCTTATAGAAAAATGCTACCTTATGTGTTCCCTTTTCCAATCCCATAAAAGTATAACTCTCACAGTATTATGAGATCTTCTGTTTTTTGATTATATCATTTCGTATTCTGATGTCTCCTATCAAATAATTCTCCCTCTACAGAATCATTTTATATTGCACTACTCACTCCATGTGAAATGAGAATGTTGAAATACTATATTATGGGGTATAATGATTTTTTTGTTGTTGTTGATATTGCTGATGATTAGCCATTGTCTCGACGGCATACCCAACAGCAAGGTTGCACAGATTTATGGGGGCGTGGAAACAGACCGCGCTTGTGGGTCATACGCATGCGCAGAACCGCTCCGTAGCATATCTCGATAGGTAGCATAAATCAACAGAACACCGGTTCTGTCCAAAGGTCAAAAACAATCTGCCTACCAGCACATCTAAAGCTCACTAATTAACACCTTATGTCTTGCATGTTACCCTTCAGTTACACTAGGCTAACCATACCCTGGCTGTTGCTTCATATTTACAAGGTACAGACAGGAGAGTGGTATCAATCTTTCCATCTAACTCTTGGCAAGCTAGCAGATAAGCGCAGCCCAAAATGTGAAGCAATAACAAGCAAGGAGAAGGAGAAGGAAAGACAAACATACACAACTAAGGAACGCCCTGTTATTGGTAATACACATTTTGCAACAATGTCTGAAAGTGATTTTTAAAACGTGATCAAATACTGTTGTCAGGTTGTGCTATAGGACATTTGATCTTGCTCATTGTCATTGGGATTTAGCAACAGTAGTGTTCATGCAGAATGAAAATCTACAGATTTCTCTATGACTCAGGACCAAAGAGATCTAAATAAATAAATTTGATCCAACCCCTTGCTTAACAATCTTACCTACAGTAGGCTATGAGGTACCAGATGGCCCCGAAGAAAAGCCATGTCACAGCGTAGGCCATGACAAAGACAAAGAGCGAGCAGCGCCAGTTGAGGTCCACCAGCGTGGTGAAGATGTCAGTCAGGTAGCGGTAAGTCTCCCGCATGTTACCGTGCTGCACATTGCAGCGACCGTTCTTCTCCACATAGCGCTGTCTCTTACGCCGAGTCCGGACTGGTGAAGAGACAGGGTGATGGGGAATCATGAGAGACATGGGAGGGAGAGAGGAGAAGCGACAAACTGATTACAGAAGTTGGAGTTAAAAAATGTAGACAGAGATATGACATAGACAAAATGGGGGATTTTGCTATTGAGTTTTGATGCTTTTCTATGCTTGAAACAAGGTCGAAGATTAGTCTGCATGTGTTTCACAACCCAAAGTACCAAGAAACCCTTTCAAAACCCCTCAGAAAACTTCAAAATCACATACAAGGCTGCCTTTTGATATTTCTGAAAAGTTCTGCTATTTGAAGATACCACTCGGACTGCAGTCAGAGGATGGCAGTCGAATGAAGGCTCGTAGAGTGATTGGAGAATCAACAGAGGAAGGTGCCATGGGACAAACTGTACTACTGTAGAGACATGTTCAGAGGAAAGTCAAGCCGGTGAAGAAGGGATAACAGAAATGAAAACAGACAGGTGAGGAAAAGAGAGGAGATGAAGTACAATGGGACTACATCATCAAACACTCAGAGACAAAAAGCTACATTAGTTACTGTACAACCCTGAAGGCAACTTATGATGTTTTTTCTGTGTAGAGAGCCTTTTTAGTATGAGTACAAACACCCAGAACTGAGATTATGAAACATGCAGGATGCAAAACTATTCTGTTTTTTTGTGTGTGACTTAGACCAATCAGTGTGCCACCTAGTCAACCTATGGAGTCATATCTTAAGGTTTACAGGAATAGTTCAGTCCAAAATGTCCGTCTCTCTGCCTTTATTATACATGTATCACTGTAGGTTGATGTTTTGGTGCAAATAGAAGGCTCCAAAGTCTTTGCTCTTTGACAGCTTTTTGAGAAAGTGACCAAACATATCTGCCATTTACGTTTTTTTTAGGTCCACTACCGATTAAGTGTAAAAAACGGTCTTGTTTCGTACAAAAACATTGAACGTCCAGTTCATTAATTAACAATATTTTTAGGTTTTAGGGTTGATTTTTCCTTTCACACAGGTACAGCGAAGAGGAGATAAACTAGAGAGCAGAGCTACTGGAGAAGCCTAATGAAAAGAAATGTGTAAGACTATGAAAATCACTGAGGGGTGAAGCACTGCAGCACAGTCCAAAGTACAGAAAATTCACAACTACTGCAAGAGAGCAGGGAAGAACAAGGTGCACAAGTTCAGTCAATATACAGTGTGTGTACGTTGACTGGGTAGTCAGCCAGTAGCTCCCAATCTCTGGAGGAGTTAAAGGAGTCAGTAATGTGCATACTTGCAACCTTCATTCAGTTTTCTCCAGACTTGAATGAAATGAGTGGAAAGTCACCATAACATTTTTAAAACATCTGTTTCATCATTAAATAGGCCATCAGTCACATGCAGAGTCACTCACCCCACCCAAATCGTCCCCTCTCCTTCTCTGTCCCCTGAGTCTTCTTCCTGGGCTGATTGGCGGTGGCCTCGCGCTCAGCCAGCTTGGCCTGGAACGACCTATTGACCTTGGCTAAGGGCGGAGGGGACGGTGCCGTTTCTGTAGTGACCACATGGCCCAGCTCCTCCGATAGGTTGAAGACTCCGGTGGAGGCTTTGGCCTCAGTGGCCACCTCCACTTCTTCCCCTTCCCCCTTGTCCTCCACAGGGAGCGAGAGAGAGTCCGGGCGGGAGGGGAAGTCCGAGTTCTCCAGCGCCATGGCGTATGCGTGTGTGTGTGTGTGTGTGTGTGTGTGTGTGTGTGCGTGTATGTCAAGTGTATTAGCGTGTTATTGATGTCCTCCCTATGGCAGACTCTGTCCAGTGGCTATTGATTGGACCATTTGTTTGCTTGACTGAAGCCTGGAATATAGGAGAAGAACACAATGATATGTCACAGTAATTCACTGACCAATGACCAACCTACATCAGGAGCTTTTCAGCCCCTCTGTCCCTTTAATTTCTTTTGCTTTTCTACGTTAACAACAAGGCCTGTAGATTCTGGAGTTGCTTGTCATACAGGTTTGACTTCCTGTCTCTGCCTGTTTCATCATTTCATCCTTTTAAAGGCAAAATAAGCATAAGAATGAGGAAGGAAATCTCAGTGTTTGTAAGTCTTTGGAAATAGAAATGAAGGGAGAATAAATGTGTTCTATTTCTTTGAAAGAAAGCCTAAACCTGGAGCACAGTGTGGCATATGCACATTAGAGCCACTTTCACTCCGTTGCATGTTTAATAAAGGCCTTGGGGTAGGTGTGTGTGTGTGTGGTCCGTGTGTGTGTGTTGTATAAGTGCACTTACTGCTGTGTTAAACGTGGTGGATTTATGCTACAGGCCTGCTGAGATTTCTTACATAAGTCACACATAAGTGTAAGAAGTGGGTTAAATATGTATGTAGACAGTGAGACATGGCTCACTGTCTGAGATATGTGCACAGTAAAATGGATGATGTGCGTCCATTTGGACAATTGGCGGATGGACGCAAGAGGAGACTGATAGTGACAATCATGATGACGCAGTACGCCTGATGGATGGATCAAAAATAGCCTCTATGAAAGGGTGTCTGTTGGCCAGCCAATACGCTACAGAAACCACAGGCTAAGCTTGTGGATCAATGTCAGACAGCTAAGAATGAACCAAATCTTACCTGCTCAGTGTAGCAACTTGTAGGCTATAGGACCTAGATTTGGCAGATGTTTTGTCATAAGAAAAACCAAAATCTGGTCCAAGAACGAACCGCGATTGGCAGCCTTGGTTCAATGACACCCATATCTGGTGTTTAGTAGCGACGCAGCATCAGTCCACTCCTGTTCGATTTTCCAGGAAAAACAAAGAGCACCTCGATCCGACCTCAGCATTCACTATCAATTTAAAGCGCACACCGCAGCCACTGACTGATACGCTACAGCATTTAAAAGAAAAAAAGAAAAGTCCCGGGGGAGGAAAAAAAATTCAAGTGTAATTATTTCGGCATTTGTAGAACATGTGTCCGGCAGTGGGCATGCGAAATGGTGGCAACAGGATAACCCGGCAGCACGGAGAGCTCCATCATCTGTGCATCTGATGGAGTCAGTCAGGTGTGGAGCCACTGAGCGGCGGAGGATGCTGTCATCAGCCCAGCCCCTATCAACTCTGCCTGCCTCAGACGCTTCTCATTTCCACACCAGAAGAGACAGTCCTCTCCCTCCTCTCCGCTGACTGTCAGACCCTCAGCATCTGCACACAGTTCACACATGAGCACATTAATGCAAAGGCCTTTTTTTTTTTGTGACGCATTACAATGTAATAAAAAAGATCTCGTTAAATGTTTGGTCAGAATGACGGATAGTAGGCTATATAGTAGGTTGAGTATCTATTTGGATTTCCCTTTGTAATGTGGCACGTTTCCTTTTAATAGCTTAGGCCTACTATTTTGCTACGCGGAAATTATTATGCCGATGAAAATAATTTATAGAGCCTTTATTCACAAGTGAAACAACTTATGCTGGGATCAGATAGGCCTACAGGCACTCGCTGCATTGTATCATCAAATTTATCAGTGATTATAATTAGCGTCATAATTATAAACCGCAGTCTATGCAGTTCAGACGCCGGCCTCCAGGTGGTAGTATAATGTGTTCACTGGCGCCAGGAAGCAGCCCTCCTTTTCCAAGATGTCGGTGTACGGGCCAGTGGTGAAAATTCACCCCGTCGTTCTCGCTTCTATCTGCGACTCTTACGAGCGAAGAAATGAGGGAGCGAGTCGTGTGATCGGGACCCTGTTGGGTAAGAAGGAACTTGACATATTTGTCGTCCGTTGGGTGGACTTCTGATAAAACGGGCGGTGGATTACTTGCTAATTGTAGCTTGCCTGCTAACGCATGCTGCCTAGGGACAGACCAGCAGTTACATCTGGCTAGCGATAGCTGTATAGCTAGGTTAGCATCATCACTTGTAACAGCTGGCTTCCCGTTCAAAGGGTTAGCAGATGGATACATTGGCTATTTGCTAAGCCATCCAACCTTTTCTGTTATTTTTTGTACTGATAAGACGTGTAGTAATCAGGATTGGACGTTGTTATTAGCGTTACCGTTAGCCGTTGCCCATTGAGATCGTCTTGATTGTTATTAACCTCCTGAAGAATGTTGACGTTACCCTCTTGTTAGCTAACTATGCAGAATTGCTAGCCAACGTTAAATAACAAAGCCTCATTGTGTAACGTGTTCTTCTCAGGTACTATTGACAAGCACTCTATTGAGGTGACCAACTGCTTCTCTGTCCCCCACAATGAGTCTGAAGATGAGGTATGTTGTTAAGTTGATGATACACGGGGCCAACTTTTTGAGCAATGTTGCTGAACAATCTTGCTGTCCGACTGTGTTTTTGAACGGATAGTACGAACTTTTTTTGTAAACAGTCACAGCTGTAGTCAAGCAGATTTATTGTTTGTTTAATATCTTTGTTAGTATCTCTGATAGTGATAGGGGCGGGTGGTGGGGATTACGGTAGTAATTTTTAACGTTACTCATTAACCTTGAAGGCAATATTGCCCAGTATGCTCTAAAAGTTGCTCCGTGCGTCATCAGCTTTAGGCTCATTTATTCACAGTATGATACCGTGTTTTGGTTAATAAGTCAACATTCATCATTGTGCAGCTGGATATCTCCAGATAGACTATTTTTTGTCAATATCACTTTGTATTGCTGCTGCAGCTAAGACGCATCAGTCACAAACAAATTATAAACAGTACATTTAGATTTTTGATATTTCCTTTCACACAGATGTACAGCGAATAATTGGCAAGTTAATTCATTGAAATGGCATTTAGGATCTATATGTTGAAGTTTAAAATCGGACCTCTCAATTGTATGGAGTATTATGAATTGTTCTGCGGGAAATTTTTTTTAATGGCTGTACAATACCTGTGTAATTCCCGCAGGTCTTTTTTTACAAGTGAAACAGATTCTTGTGGGGCTTTATGTTAGGGAGTCGTAACTATTCTGTATTCACAGAGAATATTTGTATGTGGTACAGATAATCGGCATTGAAAAATGTAACATTGTTGAGCTTGTTGAAAATAATTTTAGACCTAGATGGCTGCCTAATTACATCGTAAAAGAGTGAAGATCTTTTGTAAAGAAGTGGCCATTTTTTAAAGGTCATCCACTTTGCCAACAGGTTGCTGTGGACATGGAGTTTGCTAAGAACATGTACGAGCTCCACAAGAGGGTGTCGCCTACAGAGGTCATCGTTGGATGGTGCGTCACTCGATGAAATCTGGAATTTCAAAGAATTTTATTTTTTAAAAAAGCAGTTTAATCACCACATTGACATTTGTCCTCCCAGGTATGCCACAGGCTTTGACATCACAGAACACTCAGTGCTCATACATGAGTACTATAGCCGTGAGGCCTCCAACCCCATTCACCTGACCATGGACACAGCACTGCAGAGTGGCAAGATGAACATCCGTGCCTACGTCAGGTTGGCTGATCTTCCTGCCATAGACTAATTGTTTATGTGATCAACTACAGACTGAGATTTTGTGCGTGTGTTATTTTGTTTTTAATGTGCTTGTGTATCTCCTGTACAGTGCGCAGATGGGTGTTCCAACAAAGACAGTTGGTGTGATGTTCACCCCATTGTCCGTCAAGTATGTCTACTATGACACTGAAAGGATAGGCGGTAAGAACACAAACAATAAATGAAGATGACTGTTGGAAACAAATGCTTCCTGACCAAATATATTCTTTGGGAATGTTTTAAAATTCTAATTTGTCATGTGGTAAATATTTCAATTGCAGTGTCTAAAATAACTTAGTGGTTTTCATATCAATGTAAAGTCAACATAGATACTGCCAATAATAGATTGTTCAGTCTATTTTTTATTTATTTATTTTTTACTCTTATCTCAGTGCTTGGCTCTCAGTTGTAATACTGTACTCTAAAACTCCCATCTGTTTGTTGCAGTGGATCTTCTACAGAGGACACGTATAACTCCGAGTCGCACCAAGGGGCTTACCTCTGATCTGTCCCAGGTGGCTGGCTCTGCATCCAGGATACAGGACATGCTGACCACTGTGCTTGCATACATTGAGGATGTGCTGGTGAGTTTTAGCGCAAATGCAGATTAGTGCGTTGTTTACATATGGAGAGTGATAACGCCTGCTTTTTGTTTTCCTGTTCATATTCCAGCTTTTCCACTTTGTATTTAATCAGTGTGTCTCTAGAGATCATTTGTGATGTAATCAAATTCAACACTGATGGTAGTTAGAGAGGTAATGCTGTTTGGTCTGTCTCAGTCTGGCAAAGTGACAGCAGATAACAGCGTGGGCCGCTTTCTGATGGACCTGGTCAACAAGGTGCCCACCATCTCAGCCGAGGACTTTGAGAACATGCTCAATTCCAACATCAATGTAAGCTCATTTCTCATATAAACAACATATTTTTTCTAATCTCTGCTGATGGTTGTTTGTCCTCCATTGGATTGAGTGCATCCCCTTCAGACTTGCATTGCTTATTTACTTGCTGCACTCAGGGCTGTTTTTAGCACATTGGTGCTCTACCACTGATTACAGGAAACATTTAATTATACTTTGCTTCCTATCGTTAGTGCTCTCCTGGCTCCTCTTGTCTCATACTTGTTTACTTATTACATGTCCAGCACACACAGCCAACTTAGGTGTTAAATCGGTAGTCAGGGATCTTTCTTTCTAACATCACAGTCCTTGACTTTTACTTGTAACACTGTTGAAGGAGCATTATCATGTTTTACTGATGGACACTTTGTTTTTTTTTCACAATAATTAAGGTTGTAATAACAGAATGGAAACACTGTTTTGTATTTGCAGGACCTGTTGATGGTGACCTACCTGGCTAACCTCACCCAAGCACAGATTGCTCTAAATGAGAAGCTGGTGCTGCTCTGATTTCTTTCAAGTGATTCATATTTAAATTTTGTTTATTTTTTTTCCCTTCTTTTTGGCTGAGTTGAATAAAGACATTAAACAGTCATACAGTGTTCTGCCTTGGTAATATTGTAACAAAATGCAGTTTGGTTTCTCACAAATGGCTGATGAACATTATTGGAAGGCTTATATTGCTAATTAAAAAGTCACATATTAGACTGCTCACTGTTAACTCCTTGTTGTGCAGCCTTTGATGTTTAAATATGCTTTTGAGAAGTATTAAAATGTATATTTTAGGGCTTCAAGTAATTATTAATGAAATAATTTTCTAATAATCAATTCATGGTTTGCTCTGTAAATCAGAGAAATGTTGGCATGGTGCCAAAGTGACGTCTTCAAATAGCTTTTTAGTGTACAGCAGTTCAAACCCCAAAGAAATTCAAGTTACAAGGAAGCACATTCTCAAAGTTAAGCTTGAACCATCATCAGTTTGACATTTTGCTTGAAATTTATGATTAACTGACTTCAACATTGCTGCCCATTTTCTTTTCTTTTTTCTTAATTTAATCATTATTTAAGCTGTTTTGTATTCATGTTGCGTTTGGGACTGTGCTCCAGACAGAATTAAGGAGGTAACACGTGACAGTCTAAAACAAATCTCTCTAGATTTAAACGTTAGACAGCTGATTTTTATTAATTCTCTACATAAATATACATTCAGATCAGAAGTAAATCAGTCAAGTTGCAAATCCCTTGTGACAGGCCGTGACAGGCCATGCCCGGCCTGAGGTGAAGCTTAGTGCAAAAAGTGGGCATGAGGAAGTCACACATTAGAGCCTGTCTAGAAAGCACATGTCAATCTACAGCATCGGGGGGGCTGCTGCTATTTTGTTATTGCTGAGTTGTTGCAGAATCACAGTGGGGCCCTCAGGGCTTAGTTTCTGAGCCGGTGCCGTTTTCAGCTTTGCTCTGAGGCTTCAGCAGCTTCTCCACAGCAGCGTAGCTCTGCACCGCGCGGTCGTACATGGTGTCTCCGGTTGACTTTGCGACGGTCACAGCCTGCTCCGGGTAGTAGAGGGAGGCGCTCACGGTCACCAGGCCCGCCGGGTATATGAGCCTTTTAATCCTGGAGCCTCGTGCAAGAAACAGCCCCAGGACACCGGTGAAGCCGATAATTCCTGCCCGGGGGTAGAAGTCCTTCGGCGGGTTCTTCAGGTAGGCGTATGTGTCATTCCCAAACCGGACGACACTTTGCACTTTGGGTTTAACTTTGTCGTAGGTGTCCCGACACCAATCCGTGTATGGTTCTGCTAACTTCCTGACGGTGGCGACACTCTGCTCCAGTTGACCCGCTTCAGGCTCCACATACCGAGACTCCTGCTGAGGAACGGTGTATAACGATAGTTCATCCCGGTGGAACGGGGCGGCCGCCTCTTTCTCCCCGTCTCCGGCAGCAAACACGGTGGTCTGCAACAAACTCAGAGCTCCCGGCATAGCTCTACCTGTCACCTTCAACACGATCCCCGCGTGCCATGCATTCACTACGGTGGCTGAGGAGGGACATGACTGTTAGTCGAAGCGATAATCACGCCGCCTTTATGTTGAAATTTGACGGACGTTTCTTCATTACGCCTGAAAGCATGCTATCTATTTCGAATGATAGATTTAATTGAATTTGTAAATTAACTATAAATAGGCCTACAAATTGAGAATGGCTAATAAGGACTCATTGTGAGGCACTTCAGTATTTCATTTTAATGCTCCTTTATGGCTCTATTTTACTACATTTAATTTGTAAATATTAGTTTTTGCTCCACCTCCTTTAACTGAAAGCTATTTGCCGTTTTTATATATGCTATTAAACATGATGATTTATGATTTATAGATGATGCGTTGTTACTGGCTAGATTAAACTGTGAAGTATGGCGTAATACAGCATGTAAAGTGATTAAAATTAGCTCAACCTAAACCAACTTCATTATTAAAAGGCTGCTACATGTTATGCATCACTAACTTTTGCCAGGGACCGACCACATTTGTCAATTCTGCTGATATCGGGCAACATTAGCCAAATGCATGTAATAATACAGCACTTTAAGATGGCTTAAGAAGACTTTTGCGTTAAAAGTTAAGTACTTTTTATTAAAATATTGTAATTAGAACTTTTACTTGATATATGTTTTAATGAATATTCAATTATTACTACATTGTCCTCCACCACTGGTTAGTTTTATTTTCTCAGTTTGTATTTTTTTTTTATTTATTTATTTTTTGTACCCTGGTATCACCGGGCTTGTTCTTATTATTACATTAGTTTTGTTTACTATCTATTTATAGTACTATTTTCACTTTATTAGCATGCAGCTCTCGCCCCATTCACTGTTCAAAGGTTCTTTTTCGTTTGTGACGTCACTGGTTCCCATGGCAGCCTGAATCTCCAGGAAATCGTCAACACATGATCCAGTAACGTTACACTTTCAGGCTAACGCTAGTTTTTATCATTGCTTAGTTTTACCTATTGCCTGTTGCGGTTTCGAGGGCATTGTTGCTTTTTGGGGGATTAAAAAAAGCAGAAATTTATTTGAATGGAGTGTCTAGTTGGAGAGTCATCCTTTCAGAACCTGCAGGCTCTGTCTGCTTTGTTATCAGCTCAGCAGGATGATGATGATGATGAAGACTGTAAAGTAAGATTTGAACTGTTCATTTAATTCACTTGGCCTTATTGCTATGGTTAATGTAAGTAGCCTTCACATTGCTCAAGTAGATATAGCCTATACTTAAAAAGAAGACACAAAATAGCCTACTTCTCTGAAAGTCAAGCTAGCGTGTTTACACTGATTTTTTTGGGCACATTTTACTGATAACCACCTTATAATGACTGCAAATTGAACAACTGGATGCCTTGAGCTAGTGTTTATTTGAACTAAGTTACAATAACATCAGTTAATCTCTACAGAATGAATCAGCCTGCGCACAGCTGGGTCCTGGACACATTGGCCCCCCACCCAAAAAAGATAAAGAAGGTAATGCATTGTATCTAGTAATTCCCTAAAAAAAAACCTCCTAAAGTCATGATGGTAACTCTGGTGGGTTGATGATAGCAGTGTGTGTGTTGCTGTTTTTTTAGTATCAAATGCCTGTGTGAAGAAGAACAGCAAAGATATCTGGAGCGAGGAAGAGGTGGCTGAGGGCTCCCAGTATGATGATCTTGCTGACCCGCGGCCTCAGCCTGAGTAAGACTGCGGGGCAGAAAGAAACACATACATAGGATTCACTTATACAGTGAGGAAAATAAGTATTTGAACACCCTGCTATTTTGCAAGTTCTCCCACTTAGAAATCATGGAGGGGTCTGAAATTGTCATCGTAGGTGCATGTCCACTGTGAGAGACTCCAGAAATCACAATGTATGATTTTTTTAACTATTTATTTGTATGATACAGCTGCAAATAAGTATTTGAACACCTGAGAAAATCAATGTTAATATTTGGTACAGTAGCCTTTGTTTGCAGTTACAGAGGTCAAATGTTTCCTGTAGTTTTTCACCAGGTTTGCACACACTGCAGGAGGGATTCTGGCCCACTCCTCCACACAGATCTTCTCTAGGTCAGTCAGGTTTCTGGGCTGTCGCTGAGAAACACGAGTTTGAGCTCCCTCCAAAGATTCTCTATTGGGTTTAGGTCTGGAGACTGGCTAGGCCACGCCAGAACCTTGATATGCTTCTTACAGAGCCACTCCTTGTTATCCTGGCTGTGTGCTTCGGGTCATTGTCATGTTGGAAGACCCGGCCTCGACCCATCTTCAGTGCTCTAACTGAGGGAAGGAGGTTGTTCCCCAAAATCTCCCAATCCATGGCCCCGGTCATCCTCTCCTTAATACAGTGCAGTCGCCCTGTCCCATGTGCAGAAAAACACCCCCAAAGCATGATGCTACCACCCCCATGCTTCACACTACACTACTACTCATCATTCTTCTTCCTCCAAACACGGTTAGTGGAATTATGACCAAAAAGTTCTATTTTGGTCTCATCTGACCACATGACTTTCTCCCATGACTCCTCTGGATCATCCAAATGGTCATTGGCAAACTGAAGACGTGCCTTGACATGTGCTGGTTTAAGCAGGGGAACCTTTCAAACCATGACGTCTTAGTGTATTACCAACAGTAACCTTGGAAACGGTGGTCCCAGCTCTTTTCAGGTCATTGACCAGCTCCTCCCGTGTAGTTCTGGGCTGATTTCTCACCTTTCTTAGGATCATTGAGACCCCACGAGGTGAGATCTTGCATGGAGCCCCAGTCCGAGGGAGATTGACAGTCATGTTTAGCTTCTTCCATTTTCTAATGATTGCTCCAACAGTGGACCTTTTTTCACCAAGCTGCTTGGCAATTTCCCCGTAGCCCTTTCCAGCCAGGAGGTGTACAATTTTGTCTCTAGTGTCTTTGGACAGCTCTTTGGTCTTGGCCATGTTAGTAGTTGGATTCTTACTGATTGTATGGGCTGGACAGGTGTCTTTATGCAGCTAACGACCTCAAACAGGTGCATCTAATTTAGGATAATAAATGGAGTGGAGGTGGACATTTTGAAGGCAGACTAACAGGTCTTTGAGAGTCAGAATTCTAGCTGATAGACAGGTGTTCAAATACTTATACTTGCAGCTGTATCATACAAATAAATAGTTAAAAAATCATACATTGTGATTTCTGGATTTTCTTTTTTAGATTATGTCTCTCACAGTGGACATGCACCTACGATGACAATTTCAGACCCCTCCGTGATTTCTAAGTGGGAGAACTTGCAAAATAGCAGGGTGTTCAAATACTTATTTTCCTCATTGTATATACTGTGGTCAAACACTGGGGAAAAACCAAGTACTTTATTTTCACCGCTCACTGCAATTGCACCTTTCTCACATCTTGAGTTTATTGAGCCTTAAAACCAAAAAGCCACGCTGTTAAGGGTAATACACACCTTTCTAATTATGAAACCTTGTGCTACTTTTTTTTAAATAAAAAAAACAAACCAGTTCGTTTATTATTACAAATCTTTGCTATGGTTACCCTTGTACTATAAATTAATTATAGAAGTGCAAGGGAGGGCGAGGCAGCCTGTAGAAAAGTATTAATCACAATTAGATACCACAATTTCCACTATCCATTGACCTCAGCTGACACTCACTTCTGCCTGCTTCTGTTCGATGTTGTTCCCTATTGATTCTGTCAAATGAAATTAATGCTGTTTGTTTGTGTGTTTATGCCTGCATGACCGTGTGTGTATAACTTTTGTGTGCAGGTATGAAATAATCCTGAAGCAGAGTGTGGGGACAGAGGATCTGTTTTTGGGCTTGAACGGAAAGGACCCGTCCTCCATGTGCTGTGAAGCCATGCTGGTAACTCCACAAAAAATGAAATGTACAAGGATGTGAGATTAGAGATAGCAATATTACAGGATTCTCCTATTGCTGTGTGGGCTGGTTTCAGAGAATTAATTTGAAGAACTATATCATTTCAGACTCACCGATACTAAACAATTTGCAGACAGTGTAAAAACTGTTAAGGGGCATAAAATCCAGCTGTTGAGCAGCACAGACAAGGCAGAGTGAGTGTAACTGTTAAAAAAATTAAATCAGAGTTAAGTAAAGAGATTTCACTTTTACATCCTAGATAGTTTTTCAGACTCTGCTGCATTACAAGTGAAAAGGCAGCGTATATTAACAACAGTGAGGAAATGGCATAACTTGGTTAACACAATATAAGTGGAATATTGGTTTCCTTTTTGAATAAAAGTCAAGATTAAAATGTTCATAATGTGCAATATTAAAGATGCTGACTCCCCCCCCACTCGTAGGTGAAAATCAAACTACCAGACACTAAAGCAACAGATGTAGTCCTGGATGTAAAAGAGAAGTTCCTTGATCTACGGACGCCAAAATAGTAAGGGATGCTTTGAAAATGTTCTCTTTTATTTTTAATCCCCTCAAGACGCAGTCCGGCAGATCAGACCAAAAGCTCCCATTCACAGACATTTCCTTTTAATCAAAGATTCCCATCATGATCTGAGCTTTGACTGCTGTTTCACACCGCTCTTAACATCCCCCCTCTCTCTCTCCGTCTCTTTAACCTGTCTTCTCTCCTCTCTTCAGTAAACTGGGTCTCCATCTCCCACATCCGACCCACAGCCATGGGGGAAAGGCTCAGTTCTTCAGCGAGAGGGAGGAACTGGAGGTAACTCTCCCAATGAATCGTCCCATGGATTTTATCAACATGCAATAAGAAGGAACGCTATTACAAAGATGCAGAGTTAGACCTGAAGCCGGTCCACAGAGGAGATGACGCAGGCATCTTTTATGGGTCAAAGAAAAAGGTGGTCAGAGAAATGGTCAGCATATGCATAACCTGTTTGTTTATGTTCTGTAAATGGTGATTTAATGCTATTTTGACATTTGTTCCCACTGATGACTATTAAAATGTCTTTCTAATAAATCTTTTGTCTCATTATATGATTGCTTTTTTATGGGATAGCCACAGATGTTTGTGGATATTAAACCCACGTAAGCTTTACTCATCGTTTTAGTCCGATACCTTTATTACGGATGGTATAATCATAATGCACATAAGAGCTGCTATTGCAAACTGATATTTAGAATAATGAGCGTTAATGGGAAAGGCATTCATTATAGGATAGGCTCAAATTATTGTGCCCATATTTAGGTTGAAGGGAGTTATTGGTGAGTGTAGTCGTTCCCTTTCTTTGGTAAGATGCCCACTTGATTTGGATCTCCTGACTAATCAGGCCTGTTTAGCTTCGGCTGCACTTTGGACTGCATTAATGCACAAAAGAGGGATGCGAATTATGTTGGCTACTCCATCGTTTACTTTACATTGAAGTCACACTATGAAGAGATCGTTTTAGGGCCTGTGTGAACAGCACACATTAAATTGAACTATTGCCAATAACTTTTGGAATTATTACAGCGGACAAAGTCTGAACATTTGTCTATTGTTTCTGTGGAGGTATATTAAACACCTTTTAACTGTTTCAGGCCAGCAACATCTTAACATTTGAGGAAGTAGACTTGTAAATGAAAACGTCAGCAACTAAAATCAAGATCAACAGGTAAGTGACAAAACAAATGAGTTCTCCACACTCTTAAAAACTATTTAAGTGCCATGCCCTTGCCTCTAAGTGCAAAAGTGAAGCTGCCCAGTGCAATATGGAAAAACTGGACATCTTACTGCGTCGTCCAGTGGAAAAAATGCCTGGATGCAGAATAAGTTACATTTTAAGGGTTGAGATGAAGAATGCCTACTGTCACTACACGTCACAGTAATGTTTAAAAGTCACACAGATGCGCCACTTTTGTTGGGAAATAATTGAAACATATTCCACAGGTACATTAACACACATTTAGTGGAAAGGGAGCATATCTGGGTGTGCAGGGTGCCACACCTCCGTGCATCGTTACCGCAGCAGAAGCAGCGGTGGTGTGATCATGTGACGCCTGCATTTCCGACACAACAATACAGCACCGGACCGGTCTACATTCACACTCCCTCTCTCCCCCCACGCCTCGCTCTCGGTATGGCGGACGGCGAGAGGTCCCCGTTACTATCAGATCTGGGAGATGGTGCTCTTGGCAGCGGTAACGGCGGGGTGTCTCCCGGCTCAGCGCCCTACGTGCCCAACAAACCAGAGAGTGAGTATCCATGGTGCTCTCTCCTCCAACCTTAATTAGCCTAGCTTACGTTAGCTTCCACTGACAGGGCATTCTGGTTAGTCTGCTAGTTCAGCTGTGAATCAGGCTGTCGGTACTGTGTTTGTGCAGGATATAATGCTAGCCTCCAGGGTATTTCTTTATGAGCGTCTCATGTGGGATGAAATGTGCGTTATTCCAATCATGGCGTGAGGAGGGACTGAAGGGAATTAGCGTTGTGCTAACTAGCTAACCTAGCAGCCGTTATATTAGCTTGGTAGCTAGCTCTGGTTAACACCGGCAAACCACCCGCCAAGCTTCGGGTTTGAAGCTCAGAAATTTTGTCACTAAATCATATTTTATTTGCGTTTCCCAACAAAAATTGTTGCGTTTGAACAGCTGATGTTCCCCATTGTACTCGCAAGCTGGATCACTGTACCACTTAGCTAGCTAGCATCCGAGAAACCTCTTTGATTGACATATGAGAGGGCTGCTGAGGGATGCTGCAAGAGAGAGCCGCTACCAATGGCCGCGCACATGGAGAGGGACTGTGCCTAAATACATTAATTGAAAAGGCATGAGATATGGCTCCTAATTGTGTTTTGCATCCAACCTGCTCTAAACCATTAAAATTATCATTCACATTGCATGCTAGAAATGTAGAGCAGGTAGTACTGTATGTTGTGTTCTTTACTCACTTCCATCTCTGAGTTCTCTCTGTCACTCACAAATACTGACACTGTTATTTGTTGAAACTAACCCCGCTCCACATTCCAGGAGTGTTTTTCTTCTAAAGCTCCTTTCAGTTGAACTCGAGACCAAATCTTATTATCTTGTTAATCGCAATGTGAAACGGTATTTGTCAATGGGAATTGAGGCTTTATTTCAGGCCATTGCACAACTCTTGGGCCTGTTCCCTCAACAATCCATTCATTTGTCACTGGTTGTACTACTTTTGTATTCGTCATTCTTTCCCTTCCTTGTCTCCCGCCCTGTGCAGGCTTCCCTCCGTTCCCCAGCCCCACTCAGCCCTCAGTGCTCCTAGGGGAGGACCCTCCGCCCTACTCCCCTCTTACCTCCCCAGAGAGTGGCAGTGCTCCTGTAATCAGCTGCCGGGTGTGTCAGAGCCTGATCTCTGTGGAGGGAAAGATCCACCAGCATGTGGTGAAGTGCGGGGTTTGCAATGAAGCTACGGTAGGTCACCAGAGGAATCGGTACAGCCAGATGTAACGCACTCAGTGTGTTTATCTACGATATGCCGTAAAACACTTGCACACACACTTTACCGGTGTCTTTTTTTAAAGTGTTTTTTGGTGCTCAAAACAATGAAAACTCAACAATCTATTTCCAGTATCAGTATCCCCCTTACTCCGGATAATCCACAGAGCTCACAGTGAGGTCATTAATACTCCCTATAATCCCCATGAAAACATTCTTTGGCAGAAAGTAGCTTTAAGTGTACTATGTGTAGTATTTCAACATCATGAAAACATCTAGAAATTAGATGATAAAGATGGACAGTCTGTTTTTCAGCTGCCCACCAAGTTGGATTTGCGGAAAATCAACATTCTGTTTTATGTCATGAGACTGGTTAGTCTTATGACATTAAACAGAAAGTTGTTTTTCCAGGGAATCCAAGGGCAAGTTCACTCCTAACAGTAATTTCCGCTCATCCAAAACATGGAGCATGTACTTATTTAATCTGGTGTGTTTGGTCAGGTGAGTATGGTGTCACGTATGTGCACCAAACTAGCACGGTGGTGAACGCAGTGTAGACAAATGAAAAGATATATGCTCTAAATTTTTAACACTTTGTATAAATTAAAAAGCTTAACAATTATACCTTGTTGTTTATCTGTTGGGTCTTCTTTTTTGCCATAAAATGTATAAATAATTCAGCATGATCAGGTCATATATTGTAAATTAGTTACATGTAAGTTCATATGAATTATTTTTTTTGTGCCAGAATTTTTTGACCAGCACCGAGCGAGCAAAAGAGCGCTCAAAAGTGGTCCAAATGTTGAGACATTTAAGCACCAAAGGCAGTTGACAGAGCCTGCCATCCTGACCATGGAGTCATTGTTCTGTTTCTTTTGTAGTAGTTACACAGGCAGGATTAGGTATCACATTTAATATGACAGAGATACACTGAAGTTTTTCATAATGCTACCTCTAACTAAAGAATGCCGTGTTACTGGTCAGGTGTGGCAAGGTATAACAAAAAGCCAGATTCACAGCTGCGCTTTGACATTCCTGAGCTATGAAAAGTTGAACACATGTGAAGGTAAATTTAGTCATCAAGTTTTGGATGCCGTAATTTCAACAACCATCACTGTCAAATTCACAGGTTGAAGTGGCTCCACGAGAGCGCATCACTGGCTGTGCAGATCGATGTACTGATGGAAGAGGAAATGTGAAATGTGTCCAGATGTACCAGTTGGCAATATGAGCAATGTGCAGATGGAGGAAACATATGTACATGTAGAGAAATATGTCCAGGGTGTGAAAATATAGATTTTTGGCCACAGCCTTATCAAACACACAGATGAGGATGCATTTAGACTGAAATCTGTCTGCATGTGCAAAGGAGTACAGTACAGATGGAGATTCCATCATCAGTGTCAACTATTGGCTCAAATCCAAAGACTTGCACAGTGATGTAGATAGGAGGCAAAATATGTGTGACGGCAAATAGTATTTGTTGAAATTAAATAGGTTTGATCTGCAGAGTCTTTATTGTTGTTGAATGGGGCCACTCCTCTTTGTGTCAGTCCCCCATTGTTAATTAGACACATTGTGAAATAACAATTTTGTGTAGCCCAGCTTTAATTTGACAGTTGGGGTTGGAGGATATCACAATGTAAGTAGTTGCAAATAAACAATATAAATGGTTATTTCACTGCCACAGATGTCTGTTGCAGTTAATGGTTATAATCATGAGGCGGAGCAGCTCAGTAGCAGCAACACGGAGTAAGCTGAGACAGCAGAAGCAATGCTTATATATTGAGAAGTCAGATGCAAAGTTGCGAAGAACATCAAATGTTTGTATTGTGGAATGATTAGTTTCCTGTCACAACACATCATTTTGTTTAAATGAATAGATTTAGTTATAAAATAGGCTGAATGATAAACAGAAACACATGACGGAAGGATTTATTGCAGGGCTGTTGTAGTAGACTGCATTGAAAGTAATATAAATGTGAACACTGACACACATGACAATAATTTGAGTAACTTAAGGTGACTGGACTTAGGTAATCCACCATAAAATGATTGCTTGCAATATTAGTTTCCTCTCCCTATCATTGCCTCTCTGCCTCTAGTGCAGACACAAACTTGACTCCCACAGCTGTTGTAAGTGTAATTGATAATGGAGCAGGGAACTCGCAGGACTCAATCTGTTCTGGTTAGTCAGAGTTTAATGATGCAGTGGAGAGACCCATCAGCAGGACAAACAACAGTCTGACAGCAGGATGTTCTATTAAGCCCAGAGGAAGGTGTGTAATTTGTGTAGTTGTACTTGTGTAAAAAAAAAAAAAAAAAAACAGATTGTAGTTTCCATTCTCTGTGTGAGCTCAAACAATGTCCTTGAATTTGGCCTGCAGTATTATCTGGCCTAGTGAGTTGTTAAAGTGTTATTTTAATACCGTACGTGCTTTATAAGAATATAACTGGATGATTGGGCATAAATCAAGCCAGTTGTGTAATTACTGTGATGTATTATTCTGTTATGTGAATTCTATATACAGCATGTTGACGTATCCGGTAGGAGCCTACAGAATGGAACCA